CACACCAATCATATTTTGTCTGAAGTTGATGTCCCAGTCTAATTTAATTAGCGTGTTATAATATACCCTCAAAGTGGATGGATGTTTTCATCAGTAATGACCTAAACAGTTTATTTTGCACAGTAACAGAAAGATTAAAACAAAATGCTCCACTAAATAATAATAGATATACAAGGAATAATCAATCAAAAGCAATCTTAGGTGCATAACATTACTGCTGTGCTTTTAGCTAATAGGCTATTGTAAAAAAAAAAGAAGAAAAATTCCCCCGTTTTACATTTACTGCACACCTTCTTGCGTCTGTGGATTTCAGTGTTGGTTAGCTGCCCTACCACTCATATTATGATTGCTTTCACTCTCTCCAATTACATCCTGGAGCTTCTCTTCCACTGCTGCCTTCCCCCTGGCACTGGCCTCCGCCTGCCGGCTGCCGTCTCCCTGTGTGAGTCCTTAAACACAATTGAAGATTATTGCGCTGCATCAGTGAATTAACAGATGCAGATAATGGGGCCAGCATGGTAATACAATCCACAATGGGTAATTTCAGGCTTGGTGATTATAAGCTTATTTTCTCAAGAGCTGTCTTCTGCTCATTGTTCTAAACCATCAGTGACCGAAAGAGCTGCCTTTCACCGGGGGGTGGGGGGAGGGGTCAGGGTCAGTGGATGACTCTCAGCGAAGGCACATTGAACGTCAGATAAGCAGATTCTAAGAATGCTGTTTGCAACTTTTTTGCAACCATCATTTAGGTTAAACCGCCTGCTTTATACCCCCTTTGTTTATTGTCGTCTATGAAGGGAAAAAAAGCAAACTGTATGTGCAAAAATACCCATAATTTACTCACAAGAAACAGTTCGCATGCATCCATACTAGACTTGGCTTTAAGATCAAGTCATTTCCACGTCAAATCAATGCTTTAAAATAACTTCTTGAAGTTCCACAGCCACCTTGGATCGAACCCAGGCCGCTATTATGAGTCCACCATATAAACGAACATAGAGAGAAAGTTAAATCCAGTCAACAATGGGTTAAAAAGTTTCGGCGACTTTCCCCCCAAAATAAGTTTTAAGAATTGTTTTCCTCCCACAGTTTATACACTTCCAACACGTGGTGCATGTTTCCGATTTGACTGCTGTTGATTGGCTCTTTGAGAGCAGGGACAAGAATCAGGATGATTGTAAACTGAGAAAAGTGACCCAGAAGTATCTGCTTGGCAGCTACAATAAGAGCTGGCTGATTTCTCTGAATACTCAGGAAATGTGCCTCAGTGCTTCCTTATTCTTTTCCCCTATGAAAGGAGAAAGAGAGAAGTTCACCCAAGAAATGATTTGAATGTGTAATAAAATGCAGACATTTTCTGTGTCGATCTTTTATTATTATTATTATTATTGCCATTTGTTTAAATGGAGAAACAAACAAATGAGTGCATCACTTTTGTGTCGCACTCAGTGGCCGGTAGAGTTATAGTTAGGACAATAAAAAGAGTTGTTAATTAATAATTGGAAGTGTGAGTTACCAAACAAATAACAGAATTCAAACAGCCTTCTTGTCGCCAGCCGTTTCAATGACGTCCTCATCGGTTTGACATCCTGCCGTGTAACACGGTGGGCACGTCCCCCAAACTTCCACCGTGAGGCTATAAAGGCCACAGCGCTGAGCGTTAGTGAGAATCTCGGAGCAGCACACAGGTGCTGTGCCGATAAGTTGAATTATTGAATCAAATCATGAAGTCATAATTAACGTGAAAAAGGCTCAAAGCAGAACATATTTAATATTAAACACAAAACGATTTCCTGCACAGCCAGCGTGCACGATTATAATTAAGAACGCACTCACATTCTTTTACAGCTCAATTTAAATTTGTTTTTTTCCCCTTTTTACAAAAAGTCTGCTTTCATTTGTCTTAAGATGCGATAATAACGTGTCTCTTTCTCTGTGCTGCCCGAAGACCAAACAAATGGCCTCTAACTTGGCGCAGTG